AGACAGAGAAGCTGCATGCCTTGGTGGACTAGCTCGGTAGCCATGACAACGCAGCCGGGAGAGCAAGAAACAGGAACATACAGAATCTGTTTCTGCTGAGACTTGCACATGTGGCACAGTGCTGCCTTTGCTCCAAGAAGAAGTGAAGGGGAGGCGTGTGTGTGTGTGTGTGTGTGTGTGCGTGCGTGCGTGTGTGTGTGTGTGTGTGTGCGTGTGTGTGAGCCTTTATGAAGTACACTTGCCTGCTGTCTCTCTAAGCAAAGTGCCACAATGAATCACAAAAGAATGGGGAAAACAAATCAAGCAAAAATTCAGGATTTTAGAGGTTTTCAGAGTTTTTGGACTAACGATGGGACAGAAGTTGGAATGGACACAAGAGAAAACATATTATGGGCAAGAAGGAGCACAAATCTCTCTCCTCACTTCTTGTTTATGCCGATTTTTCCTTCCCTGAGCCTCTCTGCCGCTCCCCTTCTGCCTCTCTTTTCTTTTTGCTCTCACTCCCTCTTTCTACAGGCTTCACTCTAACTTCCCCCTCCCCTTTCCTCAAGGGAATAAAGGTCGTAACGCAAATGATTACTCAAACCGGAGTTGCCATGGCAACGCTGTCACGTGACTGGGGAAGGCATGCATAGACCACAACAAGGAGGTGGATCAGGAACCAGCTCTGGAAAAGAGCTGTAGCTCGCCTTACTGGTGCCTCAGAGTATTTCATCTCAAAATTCAGGCTTTTTAAAAATAGGTAAGCCGCATGAAAAGCAAGGGGGGAGAGAAGCAAGGAAAAAGGCTCTGAGAAGAGCTGGGACTAATGAATCTAGGCTGCTACACTGCAGTGTGCCATATATTTCTGCCATTTACCAGCATACCAAGGGTGTGTCCTATTCATCATGTCCTTCTTGGAGGCAGAGCTCAGGCGCCAGTTGTCTGGAATTTCTGTGAAAGGGTGTCAGTTGTAGGGATGTAGGGTGGTGGACTTTGTTGAGCTCTAAAATAAGAAGTGGAGTATAGAACTGTAACCTTGTTTTTTAGCGTGTTATACGTTCAAATTAGTTTCCCACAAAGGTCAAAAGAAGAACGAAGTATGCCGTCATGATGATCCTACTCTTTAAGAACTGTTCTCAAAGCAATGTGGAAAACTACCAGGCGCCAACTTAAACCTAACAAGAAAAGGAGTTTTTAGAGTAAAAGAACATCAGGGATGTAAGACATTGTTTCAAATACACATTGAAGACTTGGTAAAAAAAACAAAACTATGAGGCCCTTTTTAATTCTAATCATGAAAAATGAAATTGTACTAAATGCTGTGTGCAGCAAAGAGTGTTTGTTAGTCTAAAACAGGAACACACACCTGGAGCAGAGGCAGAAGGTGGCCTGCCCCAACAGGATTCAGTTATTTTACATCCATCCTATCCACCCCCACTGAGCTTAGTGTGTGCTACAGCTGAACCCAGTGACCAGATCTCCACCAGCAGCCCTCAACAATACACCCAAAGCACTCAAACAATTTTGACCCAAACAAAAGATAAAAGTAATAGGAATGTGTTGATAAATGCACTCGTTTAAATGTTGGTAGCCTTTCATTTGGGTCCATCAACGCTAGCACAGTAAACAAGACAGGGTGCATTTTTGTAGAATGAAGTCACTCCATCTGCAGTTGTGAACACTCTGTTTCTAACTAGTCCCAGTCCAAAGCCTAAGCATGCGTTCACACCGTCCAACACACGCGGTAAACAACCTCTGTTTACTATTTGGGTAAAGACACACATTCTGGAGGGGTGTGAGTCCCCTTGGCTGACGGATGGCCCTTTCCTTTCAAAGTCCACCTCAACTCCCGTGGGGTTTCAGGCAGCAGCTGAGTGTTTGGTGATGTCTGCAATTATCCCGTGTCTAGACATTGTCTAGTGAAAGACAAGGAGATGCACACCCTCCACAAGCTGCCCTCCACAGAAAAGGCCCAGAATAGATCAGAGTGGCTCTCACTTGGTGACGTAGTTATTAAAAATGTTCAGATCATTTTAGGAACTCGGGCAACATGCGGCCGTTTACAAATCATCAAATAAAAATTAATGTCATAAGTTACAAAGTAAGTTTTTGTGCTTGTGGACAAATAGAGCTTCTCAGAAAGTTTCTACTTCAATTCTATTTTTCTATTTCTAAAAATGAGAATGTTTATCTTTACAAGTATTCCATGATAACGTTTCAATTCTTCTCATGAAAACAAAACTATGCAATCTGCTGAAGAGCAAAGTATCAATGAATAAAATCTAATCCAAGCACAACTTCTGTAGATCTTGTCATTGTATTGTGAATTTGTTGCAAATCAGATGAAAATAAATCTCTTTTTTAGGTCATAAATCATAACTTCTGAGAAACTTAGTGTTCATTAGACCATGCAGAATCTAGTTTTTAAACATCCAACCAACCCCCCTGCAACCACATTACCATTAAGATCTCATTTTTAAATCTGTCCAAGGGATGAAGTAGAAAAAAACCTACAAAACAAAGAGGAAAAACAGAGATTTAAAGCTGCTGAAAGAAAGGGTTGTGAGAGAATAAGCAGGTATGGTGGGAAAAGGCCTTTGGGCTTCAAGGAGAGAATAGATCAATAACTAATTTCAGTACAGAGCTTCACTCGCACTGTTTTCCAATAAACGCTGTGGATGGAGAGTACCGGCTTAGCCCTCCCCACTCTATCTCTATTCCATCACTTTCTCCAAGCAGGGGCTAGTCTATGGAACAAGCTTGTTTTGTCAGTGTTGTGCGTCTTGGTTGGGATAATGTTCCTGCAGCTATAGTGTACACATCTTATCCAGTGTTTATTTGTGTGTGTGTGTGTGTGTGTGCGTGTCCCATCCTGTATCTTTAATGCTCTCTCTTAGTGTTCTGCATCCTACAACCACCTCCCACCCTCTCATTCAACTAGGGCCAGTGTTGAGGTTTGTCAAGAGCATGCAGGCAGATTCAGACGGACAGGAGAGTGAAGCGTGTGTCATGCAGCCCTGCTGCTGCTGCTGAGGCTCTTTTCCTCAGAGGCTGTGACCTAGATAACCAAGAGGAGCTGGAGCGCCTGCAAGCCTTGGAGCCACTCCAGCTCCAGCAATGTCAGGAAAGGGTTAGTTGTGTAACACAATGTCCTATTTAGTTAGCTTGACACACACATTATTCTAAACAACAGTTTATTTCTATAAAGTAGTTTTCATTTACTGACGCAATAATGAGCATTGGGGGTGTTGCACACAGTATTTGAACAGATGCATTAGGAATGCTTGGTGAACCTATCTTCTCCAGCAGCTTCTGCAGCCACGTTACGCCAAAACAACCAAAGGCTCAGTCTGTGTGCAGCGTCTAAATCCAGCCTCTTTATTTAGCAGCATGAGCACAACCATGAGGTACACACGACATTACTCATTTCCCCTAGAAACCCGTTAGGTTTGGCGTTCCTTTCAGTGCTATGCTGCCACTAACAGGACAATGATACACAGAAACATAATTTAAACAGACTATTAAGAAATTAAACCAGAACAGATTTGATGAAACATTTTTTATTATTCCAGCATCATGCTGTGGAAAAATATAAATTACACAATACACCACTATCACGTTGAGGAGCTAAAATATAGATAAACCCCACTCAGCTTGACTAACTTTAATGGGTGCAGCAAGAATAGAATTGGACTCACTTTGATGCTCAGATGCAACACTGCCATCTGGTGGTGATCTTGTGCACTGCAAGTTGTATGCATTCCTATTCCCAATATGCAGCTATTTATTTATAACAGACAAGGTACAAACCAGTGATTTATTGTACAAACAACTTTGTATGTGGCAGTAACAATAAACTAATGTGTACGTAGATCAAAGGCCTCAAATGGTTTGTTCAGCTTCATTTCCACAGAAAAATCTTAAATGTTTTTCTCAGATTTACTTTTGTTTTAGATCTTAGCGAGAAGAGCAACTAGACAAATGGTGATCTTAGTGCTGGTTCTGTTCAGGCTTGAAGCAGTCCCAGCCGGGCTTTGGGGTGTATGCAAGCTCAGGAAGAATAAAGTCTTTGAGTCGGTCAGGTAAAGGTAAGGCTTTGACTCTGTCCTCCAGAGGCCAGGGCTGTAGGTAACGTCTTATAAAAGCCCTACAAAGACAACGTAAAGGCAGCGGGCTTGCTTCACGCTCCAACGCTCGACTGTGCAGGTCAACCAGAGCTTGAGCATATGGATGAGAGTCTTGAGGGGACACAGGGAGCTCCACCCTAGACGGGAGACGCAGTGTGGTACAGCTCACCCTCACTAAGTCCAGCAACAGCTCAGCTTGTTCCAGGAGCTCAGTAGCACGACTCTGATCGGAGTACTGCTGCAGGGCTGTTTGAAGCCTTTGGAAAATGAGGTTGTAACCTGACCAACAGGTGTAACTATGGTGGGAGCAGACCAGAGGAGCTCCACTCTGGATTAGGATCATGACCAAAGGGAAGAGCAGGTCAAAGTGCTCCAAGCTCGTCTGTGTCAGGGAGGACTCTCCATCCTCTTTCAGACAGCAGCTGGGGTCCATACCATGAGCCAGCAGCAGCTGCGTGGTTTTCAAGCAGAAGTTACCAATCTCAGCAGCATCCTCCACGCTGGCCTCCAGCACCTCCTTCACTAGAAAGACCAACGTTGACTCAACTGTTTCTCCGTCTACGGTTGCAGCGTTGATGTCAGCACCTTTAGGAGACAAACCATCAACCATGTGGTGATCATCTCTTTATTATATAAGTAAATATTTGTACAGTTTAACAACACTTGTGGCTGCTTTTGGGTAAAGATCGACTTTGGTTTGGATAGGAAGTTTATTCAATAAAGAGCTCTTGATGATTCTGTTGTGACTGTTAAATGAAGTACTTGAGCAATCAAAGAAAAGATGGAAATTTCAGGCGTACATACCTTTTTCAAGAAGAAGCTGAATGCTCTCTAAGTTGTGCACGGTCAATCCGTCGCTGCTCGCTAATGCATGGAGCAACGGTGTTTTCCCTTCAAAAAACAAAAATATCCTTTATGTTAATAAAATTCATCCATCCATCCATCCATCTATATATATATATATATATATATATATATATATATATATATATATATATACCTTGCTGTAGTGTGCATTCCCTAATAAAACAGTTAAAAAAAATAGAACTATGCATGTTCAGAGGACTCATAAGTAATTTTTCAATTTACCGGATCTTTGAAATGCTATTTCTTCAGCTTAAAGAGCTTATTGGTACAACACTTTGTGTGTGTGTGTGTGTGTGTGTGTGTGTGTGTGTGTGTGTGTGTGAGATTGAGCGAGAGAAAGAGCGAGAGATATATAGTTAATAAACGTTTTTTCTTTCCTTTTATCTTTCAGATAATGGAGGTGATGGTGACACAGTTAGTTGTGGTCTTACAGAGACAATGGTTGCGTACTTTTTCCAAGGATCTTTCAAAAAGCAGGTAAAATTCAACCAGTTTGTGTCTAGGCTGAAAGAATCTGCAGTTACGCTGAAAAGAGACTGGCAACCATCTACTTCATCAGCAACATTACGGTAATTTTTGATTGTTTATCACAAAGATGGTATATCTGAGGTCTGCATTTTAGCAGCTGTGTACTTTTTAGATTTAATTAGTAAACACAATCATTGTTTTTAACATATTTATCATGTTAATGTTGTGCAGTATATCTCAAAAATGAACATTTGCACATTTTCACAGCAATGAAAGTTCTTTGAGACTGCCCGCTGCTTTTGAAATTCCAAGATTTCCTAAAAGTCTGCAACTAAAACTGGACAACAAAGAACCACGCCATAAAAATTCATTGATGTATATGGCAAACAAAAAACTGCTGTTGTTTTAGCTTTTGTTTAATTAATTATTGTTTGCTTCTAGATCATTGCTGAATTATTTATGTCCATATTTCAATGCAATAATTTCATGATTAAATGTCATTCTGTAAGATTTCTTTTAATGCACACATTTTCTTTTCACTGTTGCTTCTTCTAGGGACTAAGTATTCAAGGGGAGGACTTGTTGTCCATAGAGGCCCACCTAAAGGTGCTGCATTGCCAGTATCAGAAGATGCAACCAGACATCATGGTGGTGTGTGACCGTATGCAGCAAACCATTATTGGCGACGAAAATAAATTGCAGATGGTATGGCTGTGGAGGATGTCTTGAAGAAGTACCCATTCTTAGGAGTACCAAGTGGTGTGAGTCAGACACTTAAATTGAACTAGAAATTTTCTGTATATCCAACATAAATACACTTGTAAATTATGTCTTGTTGTCCCTTGTTCCCTTTTTGTAATTACATTGAATGTATTTTTTATATTATATATTATTGGATTCTAAACAAGTTTTATTTATTCCATTTGTTTTACTCTGTTATTTTTCAATACTGAAAATGTATCTGTTAATTGTAGCTCTGCAATGAACTGGGGTGAATCCATCCAGCAACTGGTAACCTGAGCCAGTGATTTTGTGAAGAGCTCTCATCTATCGCAACAAAGGTGATCGATCTTGTTTGAGGCAAATCTCCACTGTACCAGGTCTACCTGGATAAAAATGAGGACATTCTCACTGACGACTTACCAAGTACGTTTAGCTATTCATTATTCATCATTATATAAACCTGTGTGCGTGTTTGAAAAGTAGAGAGTGGGGGCAGTTTAAGACTCTGGTCAAGAGGGTGACTTGTACTTTAAAATTGGTGAAGTTGTATGGATTTCAGAAATGTTGCTTTCTGAACTTGAATGTTTACAATTATAAGTATTTTGCAGGGCTGCTCAATTAATCGAATCCATCCATCCATCCAATCACTTTCATCCATCCATCCATCCATCCATTCATTTTCATCCGCTTATCCGGAGTCGGGTTGCGAGGGCAGTAGCCTAAGGCAAGAGGCCCAGACTTCCCTCTCCCCAGCCACTTGGGCCAGCTCCTCCGGGGGAATCCCAAGGCGTTCTCTCGCCAGGTGAGAGACATAGTCCCTCCAACGTGTCCTGGGTCTACCTTTAGGTCTCCTCCCGGTTGGACGTGCCCGGAAAACCTCTCCAGGGAGGCATCCAAGAGGCATCCTGACCAGATGCCCGAGCCGCCTCAACTGGCTCCTCTCGATGTGGAGGAGCAGCAAGTTTATTCCAAGTCCCTCCCGAATGACCGAGCTTCTCACCCTGTCTCTAAGGGAGAGCCCAGCCACTCTTTGGAGAAAACCCATTTCGGTCACTTGTATCAGCAATCTCATTCTTTCGGTCACTACCCAAAGCTCATGACCATAGGTGAGGGTAGGAACGTAGATCGACGGGTAAACCAAAAGCTTCGCCTTCTGACTCAGCTATCTCTTCACCACGACAGACTGGTACAACGCCCAAATCACTGCAGATGCAGCACCAATCCGCCTGTCGATCTCACGCTCCAGTTTTCCCTCACTCGTGAAAAAGACCCCGAGATACTTAAACTCCTCCACTTGGGGCAGGACCTCATCCCTGACCTGGAGAAGGCATTCTACCATTTTCCGAATCAAGACCATGGTCTCAGATTTAGAGGAGCTGATTCTCATCCCAGCTGCTTCACACTCGGCTGCGAATCGCTCCAGTGGAAGCTGAAGATCACGCTTTGATGAAGCCAACAGGACCACATCATCTGCAAAAAGCAGAGACCTGATCCTCAGGCCACCAAAACGGATGCCCTCCACACCTTGGCTGTGCCTAGAAACCCTGTCCATAAAGGTTATGAACAGAATCAGTGACAAAGGGCAGCCTTGGCGAAGTCCAACTCTCACTGGGAATGTGCCCGACTTACTGCCGGCAATGCAGACCAAGCTCTGACACCAGTCATACAGGGACCTAACAACCCATATCAGAGGGCCTGGTACCCCATACTCCCGGAGTACCCCCCACAGGGCCACCAGAGGGAAGCGGTCAAACGCCTTCTCCAAATCCACAAAAAACATGTAGACTGGTTGGGTAAATTCCCACGCACCCTCCAGGATCCCCCTAAGGGTATAGAGCTGGTCCAGTGTTTCACGGCCAGGACGAAAACCACATTGCTCCTCCTGAATCTGAGGTTCAACAATCCGACGGACCCTCCTCTCCAGAACTCCTGAATAGACCTTACCAGGAAGGCTCAGGAGTGTGATCCCCTGTAGTTGGAACACACCCTGCGGTCCCCCTTTTAAATAAAGGGATCACCACCCCGGTCTGCCAGTCCAGTGGGACTGGCCCCGATGTCCACGCAGAGCCGTGTCAGCCAACACAGCCCCACAACATCCAGAGCCTTAAGGAACTCCGGGCGGATCTCATCCACCCCTGGAGCCTTGCCACAGAGGAGTTTTTTAACTACCTCAGTGACATCAGCACCAGAGATTTGAGAGGCCAACCCAAAGTCCCCAGTATCTGCTTCCTCACTGGAAGACGTGTTGGTGGGATTGAGGAGGTCTTCGAAGTATTCTGCCCACCGATCCACAATGTCCTGAGTAGTCAGCAGCACACCGTCCCCACTATAGATAGTGTAGGTAGCGCACTGCTTTCCCCCCCTGAGGCGCCGGATGGTGGACCAGAATCTCCTCGAAGCTGTACAGAAGTCTTGCACCACGGTCTCACCAAACTCCTCCCATGCCCGGGTTTTTGCCTTGGCGACCACCCGAGCCGCGTTCTGCTTGGACTGCGGGTACCCGTCAGCTACCTCTGGAGTTCCACAGGCCAAAAAGACCTGATATGACTCTTTCTTCAGCTTGACAGCATCCCTAACCGCCAGTGTCCACCAGTGGGTTCGGGGGTTGCCACCACGACAGGCACCGACGATCCTGTGACCACAGCTCCGGTCGGCCACCTCAACAATGGAGGTACGGAACAGGGTTCATTCAGACTCAGTGTCTCCCGCCTCCCTCGGAGCATTTTGGAAGTTCTGTCGAGGTCGGAATTGAAGCTCCTTCTGACAGGAGAATCTTCCAGACGTTCCCAGCAGACCCTCGCAATACGTTTGGGCCTGCCTAGTCTGACTGGCATCCTCCCCCACCATCTGAGCCAACTCACCACCAGGTAGTGGTCAGTGCACAGCTCCGGCCCTCTCTTCACCCGAGTGTCCAAGACATGCGGCCGAAGGTCAGATGAAACAACAACAAAGTCGATCATTGAGCTGCAGCCTAAGGTATCCTGGTGCCATGAGCTTATATGGACACTTTTATGTCCGAACATGGTGATCATTATGGACAATCCGTGACTGGCACAGAAGTCCAATAACAAAACACCGCTCAAATTCAGATCAGGGGGGCCGTTCCTCCCAACCACACCTCTCCAGGTCTCACTGTCGTTGCCCGCATGAGCGTTGAAGTCCCCCAGCAGAACGAGGGAGTCACCGGAAGGAGCGCTCTCCAGCACTTCCTCCAAGGTCTCCAAAAAGGGTGGGTAGTCTGAACTGTAGTTTGGTGCATAAGCACAGACCACAGTCAGAACCCGTCCCCCCACACGTAGGCGGAGGGAGGCTACCGTCTGATTCACTGGGGTAAACCCCAACGTACAGGCACCAAGGTGGGGGGGCAATTAGTATGCCCACCCCTGCTCGGTGCCTCTCAGTGGGAGCAACTACACAGTGGTAGAAAGTCCAACCCCTCTCAAGGAAACCGTTTCGAGAGCCATGCGTTGAGGTGAGACCGACTATATTTAGTTGGAACCTCTCAACCTCACACACCAACTCAGGCTCCTTCCCCACCAGAAAGGTTACATTCCAAGTGCCAAGAGCCAACTTCTGTAGCCGAGGATCGGACCGCCAAGGTCCCCGCCCTTGACTACCACCCGTCACACTTCACCCGACCCCTTTGGCCCCTCCCACAAGTGGTGAGCCCATGGGAAGGGGGACCCACGTTTCCTCTTCGGGCTGTGCCCGGCTGGGCTCCATGGGTGAAAGCCCGGCCATTGGGCGCTCGCCAACGTGCCCCACCTCCAGGCCTGGCTCCAGAGGGGGACCCAGGTGACCCACATCCGGGCGAGGGAACATGGTTTCCATTT